AATAACTATAGCCTGGGACTTGAACGGATTAATTTTTAGACCATAACGCTGACTCCACTGGTTTATCGCCGCTAAGTCATTGTTGATGGTGGCAACAGCAGAAGGCAGATTTAACAAAGTTGACTGAGTGTAGATTTGGAGATCGTCTGCATACATGTGATAGAGAGAAGCAATATTTTGAGAGATAGAATTAATGAATATAGCAAAAAGTAAAGGAGACAGCACACCACCTTGAGGCACGCCAGCTCGTAATTCGCACCAAGATGAGAACTCATCTTCGATGCGAACAAGCTGCCGTCGGCCATAAAGATAACTATGAAACCAGCCAATCACCGGAGGAGATATGTTAATAGAACGTAACACACTCAATAAGATGTCAAAATCAACAGTGTTAAACGCATTGCTAAAATCAAGCAATACCAACACAGTGAGCTGTTTGTTATCCATACCTCGTCGAATGTCATCGGTAACTTTAACCAACGCTGTTGTCGTACTATGACCCGATCGGAAACCAGATTGGAGAGGATCCAGGATACAATTTCTATTTAGGTAGAGATTTAACTGAAAGAAAACTAGTTTCTCCAGGAGTTTGGATAAAAACGGGAGAATTGAGATAGGACGAAAGTCGGAAAAATGCAAAGCATGGGCTTTTTTAGGGAGAGGCGTTACAAGTGCACTTTTTCAAACATCAGGAAATTTTGAAGAGGAGATGGATTTATTCAAGATATGGGTGAGGATAGGAGTAACAAATTCTAGGATAGGTAGGATCATGTTACGACTAACATTGTCATCACCCACGGCATTGGACGAGATGGACAAAATGTTCTTTTTAACATCACTATCAGTGAAAGGAGAGAAATTAAACGGTGAAAAATCAGGAGTTGGTATTGAAGAAAGAATACTCAGAGTCCGGTCTTTATCTGAGCTATTTAATGTGCTAGAGCAGGCGAAATATTTGTTAAGGAATTCAACATCAACATTATGATGAGGAGAATTATTGGATGTTTTACCAACTCCAAGAGACTGTAGAAACTTCCAAACTTTGGCTGCGTCGCCGTTTTCGACGGATTTGTGAATATGGCGTCTTTGTGCATCCCTACACAATGTATTGCAGCGATTCCGTACTTTATTATAATATCGTAAATTTTTCTCAGATTTATCAGCTTTTAACTTACTTTTAGCAAATCCTTTTTTTTATAATAAGTTTTTTTAAACTATCCGTTAACCAAGGTGCAGGTAAATGTTTCATTTTTATTGGTTTTACTGGGGCATGGATGTCATAAAGTTGGATAAGAAAGGAGTTAAATAACTCGACTTTCAAGTCGACTGTTGAAGCATTTTCAACAGCTGACCAATCCATGCGACTAGCATCTTCCAGAAGACGTTCTTTGTCCATTCCACCAAAATTACGTTGCAGAAGGATTCTCGATTTTGCTTTAGGAGGACGGACTTTGTATGTAAGAAACAAGAGATCATGATGAGAAAAGAGATCAGCGTCATGCTGGCCATGCTTCAGGACAAAATCTGGAGAGGATACAATAATTAAGTCAAGTAGTGATGGAGTACAGTCAGGCATTTTATGCGTAGCAGATAGTGGTAATATATGTAGATTACATGCCTCGGTTAATGATTTTAGCTTTTCACACCGATAGTCACCCTTGAGTAGGCATGTGTTAAAGTCACCCATGATTATAGTGTGAGTATATAATGGGATTAAATTTTCTAATAAATATTCGAAAGAAGAGAAATAGTCAATATGAAGAGAAGGACTGTAACAAACGCCAAGAAGAATTTTCGTATTGGATAGGGTTACTTCAATGAAGAGATGCTCAGCCGCATTAGAAGGAGATGGTTGGGGGGACAGGCTTACTACCGCAAAAGGTAAATAAGAACGGAGATAGATTGCCACACCTCCACCCCCCTTCCAATACGGTCGTTGCGAATAAGATGGAATCCTGGTAATGAATAAGAAGTGGATGGCAAACATGGTTTCAACCAAGATTCAGAGACTAGAATGGCGTGAATGTTATGGGATTCAAAGGACGCAAGCATGTCGGGATAATGAGCCGGAATGCTTTGGGCGTTTATATGAATTACATTAAAGTTTTTCAGGGAATCTGAGAAATATGAATTAAGTGCTACATTTATCGGAATTGAAGATGTTGTACTGTGGAAGCTGAGTTCACTAGATGCATTATCATTTGACGACAAAGACAGGAAATCGTCAGAATCATTACCTACATCATAATTATCTAACAACATAGTAAAATGAAATAAAATATATAATATATATAATATATAAATATAAAACTAAATAGTTAAATTAAATATATAAGTAAGTACCTAAACAGATCTCTTTCCCGCCAACAGTCTGAAAGAGATGAATCAAAAATAATAATAATAATAATAGATGTTTCAGAATAACTTAAATACAAAAGAGACAATTTTAAACAAAACAAAACTACCAAAAACTGTAAACAAATAGCATTTTACAAATAAAAATATGTAATGAGCACAAAGAGAATTGTTATAGAGATGTTGCTTTGTGATAAGAAAAGAAGTCAAAAATTCCATAAGGTACGGCTGTATGACTATGTGACCTTTGCCTACACCGAAGAAAGAAATAAAAATGTGCAACTGTTATCTAATGTTATGCCAATTCACTTATTGTTTGTTTACATCGAAATGGTTTTTTATATATAAGTTACAAGTAACTACCTCACATCGTATATATAAAAGAAAAATGGTAATATATATTAATAAAAAATAAATTAAAAATTTTTTAAATAAAAGAATGTAAACAAACCAGAAATACGGTAGTCGCACAAGATAAAACAGATTTAACCAGCTCCAAAAAAAAGGATTCATTTTTTACCAATTCTCTTGGTTCTTACTTGAGCAGACCTGGAGTCTTTCACCACACTTGGTACCGAGGTTGCAGCAGATGTGGCTTGAGTTACCGATTCAGAGGTCGAAATAGCATCAAGATCAAGCCTAGAATGGATACGATGGCGTACTTGATCAGGTCCTAGTACGAAGATGATGCCATCCCTCGTCCAGCACCTTGAAACTCCGAAACGTTGGCGCGCCGCTTGGAATGTAGTATGGCGACCCTTTGTAAGAAATTCGGACAATGTAATCCCAGTGCCTTTCAAATTTTTCTTTGCAAGCCATATCTTCTCTTTTGTCCCAAAGTCTCTAAATTCTACAAGCACAGCCCGGGGGTTTATCAGTGCCAGGTTGACCAAGACGATGTGACCGGCCTATCCAATCAGTGGTAATACCAGGGACTTTCAAGTGCTCGGATAGAACCTTGACAACACTAGAGGATGTGTTCTCTTTCTTGTCTTCGGCTATACCATGAACAAGCAGGATTTTTCTTCGAGATCTCATCTCCATGTTATCATATTGTTGAGCTAATAGTTCAACTTGCAGTTGCAAATTTTCTAAAGCAGTTAAAACAAAGCACCGGAATGAATTAAATTGGTGATTAATATTTGAAGTGGGGCTTGTTGCTGGAATTGAACTCTTGAGATCTTTTTGGAACTCGGCCATCCTTAAGTTGAAATGTTCAGTGAGGTCCGCAACAGATTTCTTAATTGACTCCATTTGTTTTTAAGGTTATAACAATGTGGTAGTGAAGTGAATGTGCTAAAGAGTTCAAGTTATTCTAAATATATTTCAGACTTGACTGGCAGGAGTTTATATATCACAGGAACATTAAATTTATATTCAAAAGTCCCTAGATATAATAATTTAATACACTGAAATCTTTAATATTATACAAATTAAAGATTTCAGTGTATTAAAATATGTCTAACTTAATCAACTCCTACCCGCGAAAAAAAAGGCTTTATCTTCTCCTTACTTACATCATACACTCTACTTTACGAACGGCAATAAAACATTAGTTTAGTAGGCATTCTTGACCATGTCACTTCGCAGGGTCACAGGCTAGGGTGGATATGATTTGAATTTCGATAAAATTTAATTTAATTTATTTATTTTATTCACTTTTTTTTTGGTTTTTTGTAAAATATCAGTGCCATAGGCTTCTGCTCCGTTTATATGATTAAAATGTAAGAATTTTGTTACATAAAAAAGGTCATTCAGTATCACTGTTTTGTTAACTTCCTTCCGCGAGGGTTGCCGGCAGCGACTGCCAAAAGAAATCGGGCCGATGCGCCTACACACACGCAGTAAGGAGGGGGGCGGTGCCCCGATCTAGGAAGCATCGGCTGATCTAGGAAGCATTTTTGCTCCTGCCAGCCGATTAAGGAGGCGATATCGGCTACGACTTAGGATGGCTCTACATACGACACGATTTAGAGGCAATCTAGGAGGTATCCCCACTACTCCACCCTAGATCGCCACCGATATCGTGTCGTATGTAGCCCGCTTAATTCAATTCTCGGCACTATATGGCAGAAAAACTGAGTTTCACTAATGCGTATTTAGGCCTGGAACCGTAAAAAGCATACATGGGCGGGGAGAAAAAGTATTGGCTAATTGGGCAGAGTATGTGATTGGTGAATCAAAGCTGAACGGTGATGTGATCTGGTTTGAGCGAAACCGAGCTGTGTGCGGTGAGAGTGAAGTTTGGCGATTTAACGCACCGGTTTGCAGCGTCATGTCGTCATTTCATTTGTCCTCGTCTCCGCTGCTTGCTTGTGAGATTCAACATATTCCTTTAGGTTGCATCATACAAATTGGAGATACTTTTTTTCATTTAAATCGTATCCTATGTTAAGTGTGCGAATATATACCAGTAGAAGATACACCGAGTCGTATAGCGTGCAGCCGGTAGTACATACCGAGTATTAGTATGGAACACTATGGGTAGTACGTACTGAGTAGTAGTATGGAACACTATGGGTAGTACGTACTGAGTTGTACAATTGTTGTTGTTGCTGCGTGCTTTGCTACGTACGTACCGAGCCAGGCGGCGAAGCGGCGCTCGGGCGGCGAGGGCGCGGCGTGCGTCTTGAGGCGGTGCAAGGATGATGTGCGCGCGGCCAGCTCGCAGCTTACGCGCTCCAGCCAGCCGCCCGGGTTGTGCTGCGTGCTGTGCTACGTACGTATCGAGCCAGGCGGCGAAGCGGCGCTCGGGCGGCGAGGGTGCGGCGTGCGTCTTGAGGCGGTGCAAGGATGATGTGCGCGCGGCCAGCTCGCAGCTCACGCGCTCCAGCCAGCCGCCCGGGTTGTGCTGCGTGCTGTGCTACGTACGTAACGAGCCAGGCGGCGAAGCGGCGCTCGGGCGGCGAGGGCGCGGCGTGCGTCTTGAGGCGGTGCAAGGATGATGTGCGCGCGACCAGCTCGCAGCTCACGCGCTCCATCCAGCCGCCCGGGTTGTGCTGCGTGCTGTGCTACGTACGTACCGAGCCAGGCGGTGAAGCAGCGCTCGGGCGACGAGGGCGCGGCGTGCGTCTTGAGGCGGTGCGAGGATGATGTGCGCGCAGCCAGCTCGCAGCTCACGCGCTCCAGCCAGCCGCCCGGGTTGTGCTGCGTGCTGTGCTACGTACGTACCAAGCCAGGCGGCGGAGCGGCGCTCGGACGGCGAGGGCGCGGCGTGCGTTTTGAGGCGGTGCGAGGAGGGCGCGCGCGCGGCCAGCTCGCGGCTCACGCGCTCCAGCCAGCCGCCCGGGTTGTGCTGAGTGTTGTGCTATGTACGTACCGAGCCAGGCGGCGAAGCGGCGCTCGGGCGGCGAGGGCGCGGCGTGCGTCTTGAGGCGGTGCGAGGAGGGCGCGCGCGCGGCCAGCTCGCGGCTCACGCGCTCCAGCCAGCCGCCCAGATTGGCGAGCCCACCGCACGCCACCACCGCGCCCCACAGCGCCGGCCGCGCGTCTGCGTCGCACGCCGCCGCCGCAGAGCACACTGTACACACTCTTTAACTCAAAATCTAACACAATTAAGAATCATGCGATTAGGCGTATTTTGTGAGCTTTCCAAAATATTTGATTATGTAAATCACACAACAATACATACTGTACAAATTAAAATATTATGGTTTGATTGAACAGTGTTCATTTATTAGGTTCCTATGTTAGTAATAAAACTCAAAAGGTTCAGATTAATGGCATAAATTCTGTATGTTCGGTAGTTCTAAAACAGAAACAGAAACTTTTTTATTCAATATAAAAATTATAAATAATACTTATAAGTCTTGCTTTAATTTAGTTTTTTACCAAAATATATCTTCTTGATAACTTCGTCGCGCATTTTACGTAAATTTGAAACCATGACTTTCCACATCTTGGGCCCATTTAATACAAATATCTACGATATTTAGGCTATATTCGGATTTGACAGTGTTAACAGCATGAAACATGACTTCTTAGTCTGATGAGTTGTCTTTAGTCCGGGCGGACTAAAGAGTGGTTGCTTAGCACCTTGCAGCGGAGTATAGATTTCTGTTCGATTTGTATGAAAGGGAGGTAAGACGGTGGATTAGCGAGTCGAAGACTCTCAGTGTCGGCAGATTACATAGTTTAAGGTCGCTGCATACGTAACGTGTTTTATACTGGATGGAGCGGGACGTGAAGTTTTGGAAATATCGTTTCATAGAAAATGTACGTGATAATGCATACGTTACGGATGCACGGACGGGACGGCGACGTGGCATGAACGGGACAGGAAAAATATCGTCGGCAACGATGTTTAATCCGTCCGGCCCGGCGCGTGGTACGTCCCGTCCGTGGTTCTGCTGCGTATGCACAGTCGCTCCGTTGGCTACGCAGTGATGCGCGTGTCGTACCGAACAAAATGTACGACGAAAAACCAATTAAATGTGTATGATGATGTCCATGTTTATATAATCTTGCATACAATATTGATCACAAAATATAAAAAAAATGTGTGGCGGAAAATTGCAGTCGAATTATCACTCACTGCAAACGGTTAGTATAAATTTTATTTTTCATTTATGTTGACATACGAAAATACATATGAAATTGAGTCTTGTCATCCAAATTTACTTTGTAGAGAGTGTGGTGATCACCTTCTAGTCCTCTTTTCTGCCACGTAGGATGTACAGAAAATCTTTTACTCTTGACGGTTGTAGCTTCTTCATTATCTGAAGCAATAGCAATTAATGCCAATTCTTCAAATGAAAAATATATCTTTCACAACACTAGCACATTAGTTTCGAGTTAGCACACTGTCACGGTGCGTATGCATTAAACTCCCGTCCGTGTTGATATACAACCACGTTCCGTCTCCGTCCCGTGCACGTGCTGATTTCGTCCTGTATGCAGCGACCTTTAATCAAGACCAATCTCCAGTCCAAAACTGCGCATTATAGTACTTGACGGATAATCGAGCGGCGGATTAGCGAGTACTGTACTTTGATGTCTAGGGACCACAACATCCACTTACCATCAAGTGGACTGTGTACTCGTTTGTTACCCTTACAATATGGGGATAGTGAGTTCTCTTTCTATATAATATAACATATAATGAAAATATATATGATATATCATATATAAAAATCAATTGCTATCTATATGCTATAATATATATTGCAAAATCAATAGCTATATATGTTAGTCTCACAAAAACTCGAAAACTCGAGTGGATCCCTGGATGGTTTAAAAACTCGAGTGGATCCCTGGATGGTTTAAAAACTCGAGTGGATCCCTGGATGGTTTAAAACCTCGAGTGAATCCCTGGATGGTTTAAAAACTCGAGTGGATCCCTGGATGGTTTAAAAACTCGAGTGGATCCCTGGATGGTTTAAAAACTCGAGTGAATCCGTGGATGGTTTGAAAACTCGAGTGGATCCCTGTATGGTTTAAAACTCGAGTGGATCCCTGGATGGTTTAAAACCTCGAGTGAATCCTTAGATGGTTTAAAAACTCGAGTGGATCCCTGGATGGTTTAAAAACTCGAGTGGATCCCTGGATGGTTTAAAAACTCGAGTGGATCCCTGGATGGTTTAAAAACTCGAGTGGATCCCTGTATGGTTTAAAAACTCGTGTGGATCCCTGGATGGTTTAAAAACTCGAGTGAATCCGTGGATGGTTTGAAAACTCGAGTGTATCCCTGTATGGTTTAAAAACTCGAGTGGATCCCTGGATGGTTTAAAAACTCGAGTGGATCCCTGGATGGTTTAAAAACTCGAGTGGATCCCTGGATGGTTTAAAAACTCGAGTGGATCCCTGGATGGTTTAAAACCTCGAGTGAATCCCTGGATGGTTTAAAAGCTCGAGTGGATCCCTGGATGGTTTAAAAACTCGAGTGGATCCCTGGATGGTTTAAAAACTCGAGTGGATCCCTGGATGGTTTAAAAACTCGAGTGAATCCGTGGATGGTTTGAAAACTCGAGTGGATCCCTGTATGGTTTAAAACTCGAGTGGATCCCTGTATGGTTTAAAAACTCAAGTAGATCCCTGTATGGTTTAAAAACTCGAGTGGATCCCTGTATGGTTTAAAATCTCGAGTGGATCCCTGGATGGTTTAAAAACTCGAGTGGATTCCTGGATGGTTTAAAAACTCGAGTGGATCCCTGTATGGTTTAAAAACTCGAGTGGATCCCTGTATGGTTTAAAATCTCGAGTGGATCCCTGGATGGTTTGAAAACTCGAGTGGATCCCTGGATGGTTTAAAAACTCGAGTGAATCCGTGGATGGTTTGAAAACTCGAGTGGATCCCTGTATGGTTTAAAAACTCAAGTAGATCCCTGTATGGTTTAAAAACTCGAGTGGATCCCTGTATGGTTTAAAATCTCGAGTGGATCCCTGGATGGTTTAAAAACTCGAGTGGATTCCTGGATGGTTTAAAAACTCGAGTGGATCCCTGTATGGTTTAAAAACTCGAGTGGATCCCTGGATAGTTTAAAAACTCGAGTGGATCCCTGGATAGTTTAAAAACTCGAGTGGATCTCTGTATGGTTTAAAAACTCGAGTGGATCCCTGGATGGTTTCAAAACTCGAGTGGATCCCTGGATGGTTTAAAAACTGGAGTGAATCCCCGTTGATCGTTTAAAAACTCGAGTGAATCCCCGGATGGTTTAAAAACTCGTGTGGATCCCTGGATGGTTCAAAAACTCGAGTGGATCCCTGGATGGTTTAAAAACTTGAGTGAATCCGTGGATGGTTTAAAAACTTGAGTGGATCCCTGTATGGTTTAAAAACTCAATTGTTGTTGAGATCCAGCAATCACCCGTGCTAAGCCGGGGCGGCTCGCTAGTACTATAATATATATCACATAATGGTATTAAATTTGACTTTGAAAATTTCAAATATGTATATACAATATATTATTTAATAAGTTATACAATATATTATTTAATTTGAAAAGTTGCTAGGGATGATATGGTGATAAATTTCGTAATAGAACCAAACTGACATAGCGTAACGGATCAGTAAGCTGAAGTGGAAATGGGCCAGCCAGCTCTATGAACTTATGAACTTAGAAGCTTTTTCAATTAAAGAGACGACAAAAATATTCATTATTGCATTTAAGATATTAACGCTCACCTAAATGAGGTGCTCCCAAGTTCTGTTCAAACAGGCACTCTGTCAACTTGAACCTCTCTGGCCCGAAGTCTTGGTGATATCCGCCTGGGAACTCATAGTGCACACCGGGAACTGATGCAGCTGTGCGTTCATCATATGAACTTTCCGATACCTTTAAAAACATAACACCAATATGATCTATATAATTACTATATGTGGAATTCTACCTTATGAAGACCGTCAACTTATAGGCACATCTTAGAGGGGGAATGTTCTCAGAAGAAAACTAGTGGCGAAGCTAGGGCTCCAAACTAGGGCAAGCCCAAGATATGGTTTTGTTTTTAGCAGTTTTATAAAAATACACCAATCTTGATCTGTCTCCACCCTTTAGTTTTATAATCGCTAGATAGATTGTATGACATATGTAATTGCATACCTTCGGTGGCTTTGAAAAGAGGCGTTTGGTTTTGCTTGAGCGAAAGAAAAATATATTTACATACAATACAATACATGAACAAAAGAAAAGCATGAACAAAGTACAAACAAACTATGTACAAAATTAAAAAAAGGGACGCCTGGCAGATGTGAAACATCGAAATTATTTTGTTCAAGTTATATGCTTAGAAGATTAATATAAATATTAAATTATTAAATTAGCCGATAGCGTGTTTGTGCCATCTAGCGTAATCTTTACGTACCACCGTGAGAATCAATAAAATTTCTTTCGATAAAATGACTTCACATATAGAATTAAGTAGATGGCGCTATTAAAATTTTATATACTGAACTGAATGACTAAAGTAAATATTCTTTAAAAACCTCAAAACATATATTCATTTAATTTAATACATTAACATTTGGGCTTCACATTAAAAAAAAGATTGTAAAAATTATTTACTATAAAATTAAACTTATACCTAGGTATCTCATATTTTATGCTGAATTTCAAAATGAAATTTTTAACTCATATGATAATATAAGTATTAAGTTATTAAACCTTTAAATACGCCTAGAATAATTAAATTTTAATACTAAACAGTCCTGTACCTATTAAAGTATGGAGAAATGTTTATTGAATTAAAATTTCATTTTTAAAGATTTTACCTTTTCCTTGCTTCGATTAGCACTTTAACACACTTATATTCATCACAAGGAACACTACTATCCTCCCATTTTCACTAAAAATCTTTGAAAAAGCATAAATATTTAACAGACACAACAAAAACAAACATTGAAATGTGAACTTGCAAACGCATCGCCCGTACCCCCTCCTACAACCTAACGCACTCCTAACCAACTTCAGGGCAAAGTACGGCTTTTGGTTCCATAGTAATTGCTATATAAACATTTCGTAGTTATATTTCACTATAGAACATTTTGCCACAGGTTAGAAAGGGAGCGATCGTCTTCTCGAAAGCCCGGTAAAAAGCCAACGCGTGCGAGAGAGACAACAAAATCAACTCCTTGCGTTCATTAATTTGGATAGTCCAGTGTATTTCGAATTGAAAGCAAACTGCCAAGTGTTGACGTTACATATTATATGCTACGAGGTCATGAGCAGGAAATTCGAAATAGTTTGAAACAGTTTACGAGTTATTTTATTAGTTGATATTATTGATTGAGCAGTTTTATAGAGCAAGCCCGGCTTCTGGGCTTCGCCACTGAGTAGGACATATAAAGGTTGTAACTTATTTTTTATTTTCAAGCATATACTTACTTGAGCGACACAGTGGTAGAAGTCTTCATACTGTCTCTTTAGCATGTACTGTTGCCATGATTGTGTCAGACCGGCTGGCAGTGTTTTAAGGGTATAACGCGCCCTCTCGCGTTCCCTTATTACTTCTTTACTCTGTAAATTAAAAGTATCTCCTTACATACAGCATGCTGATTTATGCCAGAATTGATTGGTCTATTATAATTATAACATAGTACAAATTCTAAAGCAAAATATATGGTATTTTTATTATATTAAAAACCTTCATTTATATTCAGAAAAAACCTGATGCACATTTGGGTTTAATGAAACTGTTAGATCAACATATCTCCACGTTTCGAGGTTTATGGAGTCAAATGTTGCTGGTTTTGTGGCATGGATGTTAGTTAACTTGTTGTTTCACTTATGTTGAAATAAAACGTTAATATGGTTTTGAAACAAAAAAAAGGACAATATCGTACCAGATCAATTACATCAATGCTTAATTGCATAACAAATTACTCTTTTCATTATCAATGCTGTAGCTTTTTCCAAGTCAAACTTTTAATTGAATAGTTTAGTGGACAAAATAGGTAGGAAGGCAAACCTGTATACTGTATATAGGCAGCATTTGTATGTGCATATTGTTAAGCATATTCTTGGCTTGAGCAGCAAGGTGGTCGCCACCAAGTGGTGACCGCACAGCGGCACTTACTATTGCATAT